CTTGTCCTCCGTCTGTTGCCAATATATGGGGCTGACTTTGGAAGCTAAGCAAGGCCAGGATTTGGATGGGAGACCACCAAGAAATAGCAGCACCCCAGGCTTTATTTCAGAGGAAGGGAATGGCCAAACCAGCTGAGTATTTCCTAAGAAAGTCCTATGAAAATTGTCTCTTCTCCAGCCTTACAGAAACTGCGAGGCTGGGAAGACGTGGAGGATGAGATGGAAGAGCTTCACCTGGAGGACACCACCGAAGCAGCTGAGAAGAACATGGATGTCTTCAAGTTCATGGATTCCCATGACCTACGTTGGCATCTCACTTCCATTGTCATCTTGATGGGTGGCCAGCAACTCTCTGGCATCAATGGAGTAAGGCCTGGATCTCAACCTTCCTAACGCCATGACCCCTTAATACAGTTCCTCATGTTGTGGTGACCCCCAACCATTTATAGTTCATCTACAATCAAAGAGCATTCTGAACTCCACCAACAATGGAATTGAACCAAACTTGGCACACAGAACTCCCAACAGGAAATACGGGAAGGGTTTGGTGAACATTGACCTTGAGTTTTGGAGTTGTAGTTCACCTATATCCAGAGATCACTGTGGACTTAAATAATGATAGGTCCTGGACCTAACTTGGCACGAATACTCAATATGCCCAAATTTAAACACTGGTGGAGTTTGGGGGAAATATACCTTGACATTTGGGACTTGTAGTTGCTGGGATTTACAGTTCACCTACAATCAAAGAGCATTCTGAACCACACCAGCAATAGAATTAGGCCAAACTTCAGACATGTCTTAAAGGGACTCGCTGGTCTGAGCCTTCCTCCAGACTTGCACGCTCTTCCCTGCCTGCACATGTGCACCATGTTGCAATGTGCCGAACACGCCTGCTCTCCCCTCCTACAATCACAGAGCATTCTGAACCCCACCAACAATAGAAGTGGGCCAAACTTCAGACATAACTCTCTGGCCCGAGCCTACATCCAACATCACATGCTCCCCCTCATCTGCACATGCGCACCATGCTGCAATGCGCCAAGCACACCTGCTCTCCCCTTCCCGCTTGGAATCTTAGAAACAGCCCTCCCCTTGGCTAAAAGGCTGGCCAATCACAGCGGAGGCGGGCTTTTGGTGGGAGGATTCACTGCTCCCTCCAGCCTTGCACGCTCTCCCTTGTCTGCACATGCGCACCACGCTGCCAATTGCTGAGCATGCCTGCTCTCCCCTCCTCACTTGGAGTCTCAGAAGCAGACCCCTCCTCACTTGGAGTCTCAGAAGCAGACCCCTCCTCACTTGGAGTCTCAGAAGCAGGAGGAGGGCTTTTGGTGGGAGGATTTACTGCTCCCTCCAGCCTCGCACGCTCTCCCTTGTCCGCACATGCGCATCACGCTGACAATTGCTGAGCACGCCTGCTCTCCCCTCCTCACTTGGAGTCTCAGAAGCAGACCCCTCCTCACTTGGAGTCTCAGAAGCAGACCCCTCCTCACTTGGAGTCTCAGAAGCAGGAGGAGGGCTTTTGGTGGGAGGATTTACTGCTCCCTCCAGCCTCGCACGCTCTCCCTTGTCCGCACATGCGCATCACGCTGACAATTGCTGAGCACGCCTGCTCTCCCCTCCTCACTTGGAGTCTCAGAAGCAGACCCCTCCTCACTTGGAGTCTCAGAAGCAGACCCCTCCTCACTTGGAGTCTCAGAAGCAGGAGGAGGGCTTTTGGTGGGAGGATTTACTGCTCCCTCCAGCCTCGCACGCTCTCCCTTGTCCGCACATGCGCATCACGCTGACAATTGCTGAGCACGCCTGCTCTCCCCTCCTCACTTGGAGTCTCAGAAGCAGACCCCTCCTCACTTGGAGTCTCAGAAGCAGACCCCTCCTCACTTGGAGTCTCAGAAGCAGACCCCTCCTCACTTGGAGTCTCAGAAGCAGGAGGAGGGCTTTTGGTGGGAGGATTTACTGCTCCCTCCAGCCTCGCACGCTCTCCCTTGTCCGCACATGCGCATCACGCTGACAATTGCTGAGCACGCCTGCTCTCCCCTCCTCACTTGGAGTCTCAGAAACAGCCCTCCCCTTGGCTGAGACGCCAGCCAATCACAGCGTAGGAGGGCTTTTGGTGGGAGGAGTCACTGCTCCCTCCAGCCTTGCACGCTCTCCCTTGTCCGCGCATGCACACCACTCTGCCAATTGTTTTATACAAAGCATATATGTTTTCTGATAATCTTTGGTGGCCCCCCTGAAGCCCCCTCATAACTTCCCTGGGGGTCGCGACCCCCAGGTTGAGACGCGCTGTAGTAAGGCAATAGTCAAAGCCGGCCTTGCTGTGAAACGCTTGGAAGCCTACTTGGGGTTCTCGTCCTCTATTTTCTCTCGGCATCTCGCTTGCTCTGTTTCTTTTTTAGGCCCACCATTACTCTAAAGACATCTATCTTTCGCTTGGCTTCGGAGAAGAGAATACCCCGTATGTCAGCATGTTACTGACTGGGATGCTCATGTTCATCATTATATTTGCGGTAAGATTCTCTCTACTCTTTCGATGTCCGGAAAGGAGAGTGGCGAGCTCACTCCAAAGAGGAGTATATGCAAATTGTATGCTAATTGTGATTTGCATACAATTGCATATGATAATTTCTATGTACAGGTGAAAAACATTCACCATCACCGTTGCGGATAAGTGACTCGCCTAAATGATTTGTATGCACAATTGTTCCTTATTCGCAATTGTGTATTGTCGAAGGCTTTCATGGCCGGAATCACTGGGTTGTTGCAGGTTTTTTCGGGCTATATGGCCATGTTCTAGAGGCATTCTCTCCTGACGTTTCGCCTGCATCTGTGGCAAGCATCCTCAGAGGTAGTGAGGTCTGTTGGAACTAGGAAAAAGGGTTTATATATCTGTGGAATGACCAGGGTGGGACAAAGGACTCTTGTCTGCTGGAGCTAGGTGTGAATGTTTCAACTGACCACCTTGATTAGCATATGATTGCCTGGACGTGCCTAGAGCAATCTTTTGCTGAGAGGTGATTACAGTTTCTAGATGTCCTAGTCATCCGCAAACCAGATCAACAATTGGGTCACACCGTCTACAGAACACCCACACACACAGATAGATATCTACATAAAAACTCCAACCATCACCCAAGTCAAAAAAGAAGCACCATTAAAGCCTTGGCAGACCGTGGGCAAAGGACTCTTGTCTGCTGGAGCTAGGTGTGAATGTTTCAACTGACCACCTTGATTAGCATTTAATGGCTTGTTGTCATTTCAGAACATGTTGTCAAAGGCTTTCATGGCTGGAATCACTGGATTGCTGTGATTTTTCTGGGCTCTCTGGCCATGTTCCTGAAGCATTCTCTCCTGACGTTTCGCCCACATCTATGGCAGGCATCCTCAGAGGAGGAGGAGTCTGTTGGAAACTCAGCAAGTGAGTTCGAAGATGCCTGCCATAGATGCAGGCGAAACTTCAGGAGAAAATGCTTCTGAAACATAGCCATACAGCCCGAAAAAACTTACAGCAACCCAGTGATTTCGGCCATGAAAACCTTCGGCAACACAATCTGGATTGTATATGGCAGTATAGAAGGGGCTTTTGTTCTGAACTGAATGCTAGCTTCTCTGTTTCTGATGTTGACAAATTGGAAATAATACTGACACAAAGGTGGATGGATGGACAGACGGTCAGACAGAGAGATATTTGGCTGCAACAATTAAACCCAGTTTCCTCTTCCTAAATTAAGGAGGAAAAGTCCACATCCTTGTGCCATGTTGTTGATTCGGTTTGTTTTTTGTAGGGATGGAAGATGCCTGGATTCACGACTTCCCTAAGCACCACTTGCCCGGAGCAGCTTTTCTCTCTCTAACCTTCTACCTACTTTTTCCAACTTCCAGCTGTGCGTTGTGGAGATCATAGGGCCACGAAGTCTCCTCCTTATGGGTTTCGGGATCTGTAGCGTTGCTTCCATCCTCTTAGCCATGTCCATTGAGCTCCAGGTTTGTATTGACAGTTGTCCTGGGTTGTTGCCTTCTGGGGCTCCACTGGGTCCCACCATCGGCATAATCTTCGACCTCAGGAAAGGAGATCTGCTGGAGAAACATCTGTTGTGTTTCACCAGTGAGATCAATGCACCATTTGAGGGCCTTCTTGGTGGTGGTAGAACTCTCTCCCTGTGAAGGCCCGACTGGCACCAAAATGGAGATACAGTAATCGGAATCCCACTGGAAGACCAAGACATACTAAAGTTTACATACTGTGAGAACGATGGTGGTTTAGGACAGCCGTTCTCAACCTGTGCTCCGCAGAGCCCTTAGATCAGTGGCTCCCAACCTGTGGTCTGTGGACCACCAGTGGTCCGCAAGAACAAAAATATGGTCCACGGCCTCACCATTACAACACCATTGCCTTGAAACCACGTGGCAATGACAGTGACTAGTCTCGTAAAACCCTCTTACAGTGCTGAGGCAACAGGAATGTCAGGAGGGAAGAGGCTGACTACCCACGAAAGTTTACTACGACCACATCAGCTCTAGATGATTAAATATGGTTTTCTGTGGACAAGCAGAAAATCAGCACCCCAAGTAACCAAACCGAATCAAAAGCTGACCAAAACCTGATTTGTAATCCTTTCGGTACTAATGCTAGAGAGTGGTCCCTGGTCAAGTGTTCCCTGGTCAAAGTGTTCCATGGTCATTGTGATCCCTGGTCAATGTAGTTCCTGGTCGAAGTGGTCCCTGGTCCAAGTGGTCCCTGGTCCAAGTGGTCCATGGTCAAAGTGATCCCTAGTCAAGTTGTCCCTGGTAAAGTGGTCCCTAGTCAAAGTGGTCCCTGGTCAAGTGGTCCCTGGTCAAGTGGTCCCTGGTCAAAGTGGTCCCTGGTCAAGTGGTCCCTGGTCAAAGTGGTCCCTGGACAAGTGGTCCCTGGTCAAAGTGGTCCCTGGTCAAGTGGTCCCTGGTCAAAGTGGTCCCTGGTCAAGTGGTCCCTGGTCAAAGTGGTCCCTGGTCAAAGTGGTCCCTGGTCAAAGTGGTCCCTGGTCACAGTGGCCCCTGGTCAAAGTGGTCCCTGATCCACGTGGTTGCTGGTCAAGTGGTCCCTGGTCCAAGTGGATCCTGGTCTAAGTGATCCCTGGTCCAAGTGGTCCCTGATCAAAGTGGTCCCTGGTCAAAGTGGTCCCTGGTCCAAGTGGTCCCTGGTCCAAGTGGATCCTGGTCTAAGTGATCCCTGGTCCAAGTGGTCCCTGATCAAAGTGGTCCCTGGTCCAAGTGGTCCCTGGTCCAAGTGGATCCTGGTCTAAGTGATCCCTGGTCCAAGTGGTCCCTGATCAAAGTGGTCCCTGGTCAAAGTGGTCCCTGGTCCAAGTGGTCCCTGGTCCAAGTGGATCCTGGTCTAAGTGATCCCTGGTCCAAGTGGTCCCTGATCAAAGTGGTCCCTGGTCCAAGTGGTCCCTGGTCCAAGTGGATCCTGGTCTAAGTGATCCCTGGTCAAAGTGATCCCTGGTCCAAGTGGTCCCTGGTCAAAGTAGTCCATGGTCAAAGTGGTCCCTGGTCAAGTAGTTCCTGGTCAAACAAAGGTTGGGAACCACTGCCTTAGAAGCTGATGAAGACAATATCTCCTCAACCCAACTTGAATTTCAACTGCTTTTTCCAACAGAAGACAATCTCATGGATGGATGAGCTGAGCGCCGCTTTCCTAACTCTCTTCTTCATTGGGCAATCCATTGGCCCCGGTAAGACAACTGAGGAAAAGGAATAACGTAAGGCTGGGAAAGGGCAAGGATCGGGAAACAGGAAGTGGGTGGGTAAGTTTGGGGATGAAAACTCTGAGAATCCCCCAAGAAGGGAAGAACATTTCCAGGTCATGGGGAAGGAGGGGAGAGACCAGACTCTTCCACTTGACATTAGGGCCTCTCCTAATGTTTTCATTGATCTCCCCCAAGGATGCCAAGTGTGTTGTCGAAGGCTTTCACAACCAGAACCACTGGGGTGTTGTGTGGTTTCCGGGGTGTATGGCTGTGTTGTTCAGGGAGATAGGGTGGTCTACAAATAAATTATAGACGTCTGCAAACCAGATAGGAAGTACCAGATGGGAAATTCTCTTCAATGTGAGAATGACAATGGCATTAAATAAAGCAGGTTCTTTCTCTTCTTCTTTCCTTCTACTAGACCCCGTAACCAATGTCCTCGTATCAGAATTGTTCCTTCAGTCATCTCGATCCACGGCCTTTGTGATCACAGGAACCCTCCATTGGCTGTGCAAATTTCTGTTTACATTAATCTACCTTTTTGTAGGGGTGAGTAGATTTGGGAAGGTCGATTCATTATTCTTTTCTGTTCCTAAACATTCAGGATACTAAGCTTGGTTTACTTGGTTCTCAAGGCGTTCCAATCTCTGTGTAGAACAGCGTTTCTCAACCTGGGGGTCGGGACCCCTGGGAGGGTCATGAGAGGGTGTCAGAGGGGCCGCCAAAGACCATCAGAAAACATAGTTCTTTCTGTTGGTCCTGGGGGTTCTGTGTGGGAAGTCTGACCCAGTTCTATCGTTGGTGGGGTTCAGAATGCTCTTTGATTATAGGTGAACTATAAATCCCAGCAACTACAACTCCCAAATGTCAAGGTCTATTTTCCCCCAATCTCCACCAGTATTCACATTTCGGCATATTTAATATTTGTGGCAAGTTTGGTCCAGATCCATCATTTGTTGAGTCCACAGTGCTCTCTGGATGTATGTGAAATACAACTCCAAAAACTCACGGTCATGTTGAGAATATATGTGTGTGTTTTGATTGGAAGTTCTGTGTGCCAAGTTTGGTTCAATTCCATCGTTGGTGGGTTCAGAATGCTCTTTGATTGTAGGTGAACTATAAATCCCAGCAACTACAATTCCCAAATGTCAATGTATTTCCCCCAAAGTCCCCCAGTGTTCACATTGTGGCATATTGAGTATTCATGCCAAGTTTGGTCCAGATCCATCATTGTTTGAGTCCACAGTGCTCTCTGGATGTAGGTGAACTACAACTCCAAGCTTAAGGTCAATGTCTAGAAACCCTTCCAGTATTTTCTGTTGATCATGGGAGTTCTGTGTGCCAATTTTTGTTCCAATTCCATCATTGGTGGAGTTCAGAATGCTCTTTGATTGTAGGTGAACTATAAATCCTAGAAACTACAACTCCCAAATGACAAAATCAACTCCCCCCAACCCCACTAGTATTCACTTTTGGGTATATCGAGTATTTGTGTCAAATTTGGTCCAGTGAAGGAAAATACATCCTGCGTATCAAATATTTACATCGTAACAGTAGCAAAGTTGCCGTTATGAAGTAGCGGCAACAATAATTTTATGGTTGGGGGTCACCACAACATGAGGGACTGTATAAAGGGGTCATGACATTAAGAAGGTTTAGAACCACTGGTGTAGAAAGATGCACACATCAACATGAAAAGTTATCCACTGTATTTTAATTCCAAAATAATGCTACAGTAGAGTCTCGCTTATCCGACATAAATGGGCCAGCAGAACATCGGATAAACGAAAATGTTGGATAATACGGAGTCTGCTACAGTTACCCATCCAACGTGGTGCTAGACACCAAAATACTAACGACAAGGACTCAAAAGGTTAAGGCAAGTAAATAATGCTACAGTAGAGTCTCGCTTATCCGACATAAATGGGCCAGCAGAACATCGGATAAACGAAAATGTTGGATAATACGGAGTCTGTTACTGTTACCCATCCAACGTGGCGCTAGACACCAAAATACTAACGACAAGGACTCAAAAGGTTAAGGCAAGTAAATAATGCTACAGTAGAGTCTCGCTTATCCGACATAAATGGGCCAGCAGAACATCGGATAAACGAAAATGTTGGATAATATGGAGTCTGCTACAGTTACCCATCCAACGTGGTGCTAGACACCAAAATACTAACGACAAGGACTCAAAAGGTTAAGGCAAGTAAATAATGCTACAGTAGAGTCTCGCTTATCCGACATAAATGGGCCAGCAGAACATCGGATAAACGAAAATGTTGGATAATACGGAGTCTGCTACTGTTACCCATCCAACGTGGTGCTAGACACCAAAATACTAACGACAAGGACTCAAAAGGTTAAGG